AAAATGGCAATACTTGGGGTATAGTGGGTTAATAAAATCTATCTTTGAAATGTATTTCTCCTATTTCTTTTAAGTTTTAAAATGTGGCTTCTCAGTCACTGAAAACCTCACACATAGCCCGCAATGCATGTCCATTGGGAGACAGCAGAAAGCCCAGGTGGAGCCATGCCGAAGCACCTGAAGACCAGGCTCTTTCTGTTGCATCTTATGTTTGCACACCTTCAAGTCACACCCAGCCACGACCGCTGGCTTACACATGTGGAACTCAGCAGCTAGTCTTCCTGAGGGAAGTCTCTGCTTTCCATACTTTTGCATCACATGATCACAAAGCCCATCTTCTTACTAGGCTCCTTTTGACAGTATCCTGCAATTGTCCAGAACTTGATATTGAATTTCTTATCTTATTCTATATTATCTACATTAATCAGCCACTAAACAACCTGATACTCACCAGCAGCGATTTCTTTGAGGTTTCCTGGTTCCACAGATGCTATTTTCTGGCCGTAGACCCATCCCGACCGACCACCTGCACATGCTCATCCCTTTGCATTTACTCCTCTTGGATGTGAAAGGTTGGTCCCATTGTTCTCCCTCAGGCCGTGTCCTAGTCTGTCTCCTACACGCACTGCACAGCTTCCCTTCCCTAGAAAGCCCTCCTTGGTGGCCCCACCTCGCTCCCTTTTCAGGCTCCCTTTTATCTGTTCTCTAATACATTATATTCTTAGCATCAGTTCATATCGTCTAAATACTTGGTCAAAACATGCTTTAGGCAATTCATGTCCTGTGCATGCATTTCATCACTGATTTATAAATTACTTTGTAACAGAGAATCCTACTTCATTATCCTATAGCATTGTGCTAGTGCGTCTACCTGATCAGCTACTTGTGTATAAGGGAGATATCTGAAGACCAGAGCTCTGAAGAGGTGACTAACTTGGGACTACATATAATCACAATAAATCACACTTATAACAAGACCTTTTTACCTTCCTGATTTACTTTACATTCTAAATTGCGGAGCGATGCCTTGTGTAAATCAGGTAATCTCAGCAGAGGTGGCGGAAGGAGACTGATAGAGCCTCAAGGGAGAACACTGGGATGTAGGCTTGGAAAGATCACTAGGTCTCCTACAGGGCATTCCCATGGGGCAAAGACCGAGCACAATCACAGGCAAGTGAGTCTGAGCTCATGGCCAGGCAAGGCTCCTGTTACAGCAGTTGAGCTGCAGTGCAATCAGGGAATCTGGAGCAGCTGAAGCCCAGGTATAATGACTGAGCACCACCATGAGAGAGTGGGGAAAGAGGGAGAAAGATGCTACTCATAGTGAGCATGGGCTGCCAGATGTGAGTCAGCAAGGTTAATTGCCAGAGCCTTCCCACCAGCCCATCTTGTTCCTTTGGACCCTCAGTCTTGAACCAGACAGGCATGATCTAGTTAGAATGAACCTAAAACTTGAATACTTTCAATTGCCGTGGTTTAAAAGAACCAAGTAAGATAGAGTTAGTAATATTGAGTTCTGTACAAAGTTTGCACTGGACAAATGTCATCAATTTGTATTCATTTCTTAAGATGATGAATAGGTAGATAGATGTCAAGTGTGTAGAGATGATGGATAGATAGAAGAATGATAGACACGTAGATAGGCAGATGGATAGATACATAGATAGATCAATACATAGATGACAGAAGGACATTAAACTTTGTGTATGTCCTTATTATATCCCTCATGGGGACACTTGACAACACTGGATTGGGAGGTGGCTTATCATTTAATGATTTTATGCTGAAATACCACAGATTATTTTCTCTGGCCACATTTCATCTAGGATGAAATTTTTAGCTAGGATATAAAAATCTTTTAACTAATCTGTAACTATTAACTGTTCTGCTTTGATTGAACCTTTTGTTGAATATCATTCTTCAAACATCATTTAATTTCTGAGTTGCTTAATTCATGCAGCCAAGGCAACTACAATCACCTTCGATGTAATTTAGAATTGAGCACCTCAAGAGTCCTGTTTGCCTGACAGCTGTCAAACAGACATTGGTCTCCAGGAGGAACACATTGACAGCGTGCACTTTGCCTATGGATTACACTGACTTCAATATCTGTACATCATGAGGCTCTGGTTGAGATTTAATGAGCTTCTTACGCTGGCAAATTGTAAGTCTGCGATAAATAATAATGATGATGATAATAATAATAGTAACAATAAATAATGGTTGTTTCCACACGATGGTGGCTCACAGATTCAGAAGAATGGACACAAGAGCTAGTAAAGGGATAGGAAAAGCGCGGGGTATCGTAGGGCTGCACAGTGCAGCAGGTGAGTGAGGCTCACTGGGTTGCTATGAGAAGTAACTTGCAAGCAGGAGGCTTTGTTGTTATTTACACAGCCTCTGAAAGGTTTCAGAAGAGATTCCAAGGTAATAAAAGGTGCTGGCTCTATAAACCAATGTCAGCATCTAGTCTAAGCTAGAAGACTCGGACCACCCTTGGCCCAGGAGAAACCCTGGCATCCGATCCTCTCAGCCCTTCAGTGCAGGTGAGTCACTGGACTGTGCAGGCAGGAAATGAAGGCCAGAACCATGCACCATCTGTTTAACTAAAATAGGAGAGATAAAAAATGTTAATTCATAATTTAGATAAAAAAATAATTCTACTTCAGTAATCTGACTTAACACTCAGTACCTAAATAAACATTATTCGGGAGAATATTCAGCACCAATGCAGTGGTTCTCCACCAGCAGTGGCTTTGAGGGAGCATTTCTCAGTGTCTTAAGACACCTTTAAGTGTTACAACTGCTTCCAGCAGCAGAGGGTAGAAGCCAGGGACAAAGGACAGTCCGTCCCCAGACCAAGGACTGTATTCCTGCCACCAAAGAGGAGGCGACTCTGTGCACATTTGTGGGCTTTTTCCTCCAACACACATACTTACATAAAAGCAAGTTCCAGGTTCCGAGTCTCTGCCAAATACAAGAAAGTAGTGGCATCTTGAGAAAACGAATATGAAAAGTGTTCCTTGCAGTACAGATTTGTTTTAGTAAAATGTATTATCATCAATAAAATGAGAAGTAACTTTGAAAATTTGAGCAATTAGCTGGAGCAAGTTAAAAATACAGTATTACAAAGTACTTCCTGACCACTGTCCCCATGAATGTGTACACCTATGGTGGACATTCAGGTGGCATCTGCAAAGCTAACACAGTGACATCAGAATAATTTTGACAACCTCTGCACAGACAACTTGATTTGTAGGGGGACAATTCCCAAAGTGAGCTCCTGTCGATGTCGCTCCCGGCCGGCAGGAAGGACACACGACAAAGTCTGGCAGTGGACAACCTTTTCTTTTATTTTCTCTCCGTACAGCCTGCCCTGGGATCGCTCCCAGCCGAAGCCTCCTCTGGTCCGCTCCCCGCGGCTCCTTCCGTGCTTCGCTCCGAAGCCTCTACCGGTCCGCTCTCCGCGGCTCCTTCCGGGCTTCGCTCCGAAGCCTCTACCGGTCCGCTCTCCGCGGCTCCTTCCGGGCTTCGCTCCGAAGCCTCTACCGGTCCGCTCTCCGCGGCTCCTTCCGGGCTTCTACTTCCCCCCAGGGGTGGCACCAGTATATATACGGATACAGTGTCCAATCATATTAAAGTAAGCAAGGCAAGCTGATTGGCTAACATATTATTGAGCGGGTTGTTTACGCGGTAAGCAGGAAACTAACGTGCTCGATGGGAGGGGTAATCTAACTCAGGCTTTACTCTTTACCACAGGCCGCATGATCGCTATATGCGGCGGCTCGGCAATGTGGTGGCTCCCAACAAGCTCCTTGCCTTTACTATTGAGAGGCTTCTTGTCAGTCCCCTTTCAGACGTGTCCATGTGCCCCACAGTGCCCATTAGTATTTCTAAACAGTGTTTCTAAATCATTCAATAATCTGCTACAAGCCTACACAATAATCTTAAAACCTTTGTAGTATTACCCAAACTGCTGAACATTTCAATGACATTTAAATTTAGTCCACCACAACATAAAAAAAAGTTTTAAATGATTTATTAAAATAAGTCTCCTGCTAAATGAATAGGGATAAACAATGATTCCAATTCCAAATTTCTCTTTATAGGGAATTGATCATTTCTATGTGAGGAAAGCACAGTATAATATATATCCTTTTAGTCACTATTTAAAATAGGCTTAATCAATTTATTTTTTAAAAAATTGAAATCAGAGATATAAGGAAATATAATTTAGACAGATTATCCCTGTAAAATCCACAAAAAAGGAGCATTAACCTCACAGACATGCCAAGATGTTACCAAATCATTCTAGAAATACATTATTGAGTCACAAAGTGAGAATTACACAATCTGGTTTAAAATGCATTCCATAAGAATATTCCTTTTATCTGTGTACTTTTCCTCTCTGCGGATCAGATAATAGAAATCAGCGTCATCTGAAAGCCATCATTTAGAAATGACACAGGACCACCGTGGACCTTCTGGGGGCCCCCTGCTGACCATCACAACTGTCTTTCTGGATCAGTAAGCTCCTCCAGGGAACTAACTATCCTTCAGCCCAGCACCTACTCAGCTCTAAAGGGGCAAGGTCCCTGCAATCGGAACCCAGAAAGACTCTGCTCCATAACATGTCAGGGTCACTACCGTAGCAAAATTCAGGAATTCAAAAGAATCTTAGATTGGGTTTCTTCATATATTTCTTTGAGTTATACCCTATTATTGAAATATGCGCAGACTATAAAAGAATGCTATAGTTACACTTTAATTCCTCCCTTACAGTTAATTTCACCAAGGACTACCCTGTGGGGTTCTGTTCTTTTCCTAGAACCATGCCATGGGAGGACATTAGCTGTTGTTTTCCTTTTGTTTGTAAGTGAGAACTATATCCAAGACAATTGTTTTCTAGTCAAGTGACTTTGATCACTTCAGACACTTCCGAGAGTTGACGTTTCCCCTTATCTGGAAACTGTGAGAGCACACAGAAACTAGATGCTCAGAGTGAAAGGAGAGCCTGTGAGTTCTGTCTGAAACTTTTCCTCACTGCTCAGCTTTGCTGTGTTCACGCATGTGTGTGTGTGTGTGTGTGTGTGTGTGTGTGTGTGTGTGCTTGTGCATGTGTATTAATGCGTGTGTGTGAAGAAGGAGACTGAGACTAAGACTCTTGGAGAAGGTGGGCTGGGGAGGAGGAGAGATCCTGAGAGAGAGAGAGAGAGACAGAGAGACAGAGAGAGAGAGAGAGAGAGAGAGAGAGAGAGAGAGAGAGAGAGAGAGAGACTGCTTTATAGCTGTTAAGACTGCAGACAGAAATAGCAGGCAACCACTGTGAGCTGTATCTGACTCAGAAACCAAGACCAAATTTTACTCACTTTCGCTAATCAGTTGATCAGAAGAAGGAAATGACATCTGGTTCTGTCTTCTTCTACATCTTAATGATTGGAGAGTATTGTAAGTATTCTTGGCACCTAATTTTGTATTCCTTGGTATTGTGTGAAACCATCACAAGTATTATGTTGGCACAGTGCATGCTATCAGCATAAATGTTCATTACTTACATTTATGCTTTTAGGCTAAAATGTATTTTCTGACGAAATTGTCATCTCTCTTCAGAATTATTCTTCTGAGATGTTTTCCGTGTGTATTTGCATGAAATATCTGGATAGCTTGTCATAATATTTAATCAAGATGATTATGCCATGTAAATCTATGCTTTATAAGAACAGATTTATCCAGAGAGTACAAGTAATGCTATAATACGGAAAGAGTAACTCCTTACAGATGCTGTGTCCAGAGATTATGTTCTCTTAAATGGGTGGGAAAGTCTTGACTTTGTTCTATTTCTGTGGAGTTTTGCAGATTTTCTGTCCTCTGGGGTTTGGTACCTCAGGTGTAAATCACACACAGATGCACTCAGGAAACTCTGCTTGGCAAGGGTTCTCCCTGTGCTTTGAGAGGAAAAGGAAAGAAGGGCACACAAGGAAATCAACACAGACCTTTCATTTTTACCTATAATGACAAACCCTGCTTTCTCTGTGTGTGTCATGACTTATTCAGAAATCTTCTTTTAATTCAGAGGAAAGCAGGATTTTGCATTGAGCCTCATTTGAATTGTGTGATGCAGATAAAAAGAAAATGTTTGTGTTTCTTGGGTAATAATGAATGAGGAAGACAAAATCAAGCAAAGACCCTTTCTGAGGACTTTTAATACCTTAAGTTTTTGGGAATGTGAGCTTCATCAAATTTAGATCTCATAAGCAAGATTATATTCCTCTGGCACCTAAAAGTTTGCAAAAGTTTTGTTTACACTAACATATACTATTGAGGAATAGCTCATGGCAACTTTCTCTCTTAAAGCTGATAACTTATACTGAACCGGAGTGACAGTGGTTCCATTTCTCTTTTTTTCCTTCACTTCACACACCTCATCTTCCAGTTAAAGGTGACAGACTGTATCAAAGTCAGTGAAACTTCTTCAATTTTCCAAGAAATATTCTAGTCTTAGCTTTCTCCCCCTCTAATCTTGATCACTGATATTTCCATTTTCTTAAAAGGGAGGTAAAAAAAGTCAAACTACAAATCACCACCAAAAACTGAATTTTTCTAATTATAACCCAGTGTTTAAGCTATCAGAGCTCCTGACATTTACAACCAGAAGCCTTGTCAATTGAGAGCAAATTTTACTATCCCCAATTTCATTTCAATGAAATTTTGAATAGATTCAATAAGCCAAAAGGATATTTTTAAAGTAGGCTTCCTATTCTGAAAAATTCAGTGTTTATCAAAGGTGTTCTGGGAAGGTTAAGGAGAAATGTTGGCCAGTGTGTAACTGAAGTCATTTTGGGTTAATAAAAAATTCTATGTTAACATATCCTCTCTGCTTCTCATGAGAAAATTATTCTCATGAGAAGAAAGAGAAAATGGTGATGATGATGCCAAGACTCTAAAGCTTTTGTTATTAAAAGAAAATTTGGTGAGGCACTGTAAGCACTTGAGAGCTCTGAGCCCTCATCCTCTCTGACCCTGCACAGGGCATGAAAGCCTAAGCATTTGCCCCAGGGTTAGATTGCAGGCTAAAGGGTGTTAACTAGACATCAGGTTGGGGGAGCACATGGCAAGGACCCCTAAATAACAACTAGCACCCCATGACTTTGGCTTACCTTTGGTGCAGTCTATCACCTAGGTTTTGCCAAAGCAAGGATTTCTTGTGCACGAAGGATGGCACCCCCACTGCCACACAAAAGGACAAGTTCTTGTGCCTCTCCAGCTGTCCCATGGTTACTGCCTATTCACTTTGCTTTGCTGCTTTTTATTATTCTCCTGTTTTGTGGCACAAACAGTGGGATACTGTGGATGATGCCTGTGATAAGGTGCTTCACTGTGCCACCAGGTACTCATTTCAATGATTTTCAATGACTTACCCTCTCAGAGCCTTGGTTTGTAAAATTCCCATCAAATCCTTTACCCTCCCAAACACCCAAAACCTCCTCTATTTGCATCTTGTCACAAAAATTGCCTCCTTGATGGTCTCAATTATTACACAAATACAAAGAAGCACATCAGAAATGCAAGACCCGGGGACACTCAGCAGCTTGTCACAAGGTTCAGGATTTTAATGTTTATTTGCATCAGGATTTTAATGCTCTTGGTCCATTCTCAGTACAGACAGTACAAACAGTTGAGCCTTGAAATTAACAAAGCTATTAGTCATTCTGTTAACCAAAAGCACCCTCCGAGTACATGAGCTTGAGAACAGGAATACAGGGTGTCTAACACCACAGTGCTTACTCTGAAGGGGCGGAGTGGGGAAGATAGCAAGTTGATCCAGGATTACAGTTCACTGAGACAAAGGCAAAGACCAAGGTGTCCACACAGAGACAGGACGCTGAGAGAGAGCCTACTTCCTTTGAGCCCTCAACAGTTTTCATTCTTTAAAAAGTCTCTCCTGAGCACTTCACTAAATTGTACCATTGTTAATTCCTTAGTTTCGATAATGTACAGTTGCTATGTAAGATTTCGTCACTGGGAAAGCTGGCTGAACGATACCTGGGGACCCATTACAGTACTTTTGTCATCTTATTATTGACTCTTGTCATCTTATTATTACTTCAAAATTAAAAGTTAAAATGAGTTATGTCATAAATTCTTATCAGCAAATGTTTTGCTCATTACTTAAATAATGTCATTCAACAAATAATTGATTTACCTAATACTTCAAGTAGACAGGGAGCAGATAACAAAGTAGGAAATAGAAAGATTCCAAGCACGAATTTGATCATCTTCGGTACTTAGCCAAGGTCTGGTCCAGCAGATGAAGTCCTAGTAGATTCCAGGGCTGCTTCCCAAATCACCGGTCTTTGCCGTGCACTCCAGTGTTTGCATAATTTCCAGGTCTCTCTAAAGGGGGAGGAGGGAAGCAATGATCCAAAAGAGGGCAATGGCTTGATGAGTACTTGAGAATGGATAATTCTGCCACATTTGCTTACTTCAAAATGTCAGGAGAGCAAATGCACCACTATGCAGATTACAGAAGTGTCTAGTATTCCATTCACATTTTTGAAGGCTGGTAACAATGCTATTTTTTTCTTACTATGAGTTTAGAATCATGCTTTCGAGTAGAAAAAAACTTAAGAGATCTGTACAAATTTATCACCATCTGCATACAGGGAAATAGATTATTATGTGTAACAACCAAATAAATCCACAAACATAATTTCAAACACCAGGACAAACTTCTTAAATTGAAGTACCTGGAGCTCCTGGAGTTGAGTATCTATTTCAAGTTGTGTGTTTAAATATGCATTTGTTTTAACATTTTCCATTTATTAGGAACTTTCTGTGGCCCAGGAACCATACTAAGTACTTTGAAAACTATGAGATGCCCTTACGTTATAAAATCAGAGGCAGAAAGTGAGACATATTAGATAGCGTTCTTGTCACTACCTTCCAAAAAGTGTTGCAAAAGAATATTTGAATCCAAGTCTGTCTCCTTGAAAAGACAATGCTAGAAAAACATGATTCAGTCAAAAACAGTCCAAAATTATATCATAAATTTAGAAGTAAAGATACCTAGAGCAAACTACTGGACTTCAGGCAAATTATGTATTTCTCCATTTGTGGAATTAAGCAATAAAAATAATGCTAACCATCCAAAGTGATTCAAGCATGCTATGTGTGTGTACCATTCTGTCAGGACAAAATCCATTAATCTGTGTGACCAGTATGCACTAAGGAAAAACATGCGGAGCCCAAGGTCTCAAAGCCCATAAAGTCAGGCTGCCACCTGGCAGGAGGCTTCCTCATCCCAAGAGAGCTGACAGCCCTGCTTAGGTTTATAGCTCTCTTCACATGAGCTGGTACTGTGGGCTCTGTGTGTATCATCAGGATGCAGCAACTGATGCATTAGGGTACATTTGTCCACAGGTTGGATGGGTAAGCATCACCTGGGAAGCACCTCTGTTTGCAGCACATAACCCTGCACTATCCACACAGCAAGTATCAATAATTATTGGCCTCGCCTCTGTGCAGCTCACCTCCCCATCCTCTTAGGAATGAAATCTGAATCACCCACAATTTGCCCATGCTTATTTTGGAGGAAGAAGAGCGTTCTTGCTCTGACCGGGCAACAGCTGAAGCCGAGGACTGAGGTTAAAGGTTCCTGGAACATGGCCCATCACATAGGGAACCGAGCTTACGGGATGGCAAGGGAAATAATGAGAAATTGTGCGTGATTCAGATTTCATTGTTGCTTTCCATTACCAAAATAATAAATGTCACATAGGAAAGTAGGAGAGAATAAAGTGAGGTCTCCCATATTTGGGTTAGGAATCAGTATTTTCAATTAAGCAACTATGTTGTGGTGATTCTGGATTTGGTATTCTGTTCAATTAATTTGATGGTTATTTCAATATTTCCTGCCTTCCCTGGGGGTTCCCTTATTGCTTTAATCTTTTATGATAATAAATATGTCCTTTTGAAATGAAAATAAATGCTCTCAAATAAATGTCTGAGCACTCATCACCGGGTAGGGACTCTTGTGGCCCTGTCACCAACTGTCTTGGTCCACATGCAGGCCTCATGATTGACAGCTGTGCTTGGGACTCCTGGGACATCAGTTCTCTGGTAGCACAGGGTACAGGTTCTCTCCATGATCCTCTCCCCAGTCAAGTCCAAATCTACCTCTAATCTAAGTGTTCTGTTGAACCTGACAGTGATCCACCCACATGATGAAGCCCAAAACAGAACAGCAGGTAAACTGAGGGTTCTTAAATAGCAGGGACTGTACCACAGTTTCCCGAGACAGTAGAGATTTCCAGTATTTTTTGGTTTTGGTTTTTGTGATGAGGTTGAGTGTGCTTTTGACCAGAGAGACCACCCAGATAGAACAAACTCTTTTGTTATAAAACAGGTGCTGATGCTTCTGCCTCCTCCTCCTCCTCTTCTTTAATTCA